TAAGCGAAACTGAAATTAAAGACTTTGTCTAGAACACACAAAAGACATTGATGGCTTTTTTAATTATATTATCAACTACAAAATTCACTATAGGAGTCAGAAGAGCTCTCTGCAGTGTTTGAGGCTGGCTTGAAAGGCCTCACTCTGTTCTGGAAATTTTACCCCAGACTCTCTTCTGTAGCGTTGTTCCTCATTTATGTTCACTACACAAGGAGCACCAGGTCTGCACCTGCAGTCTAAGTAAAGACCCACGTGCTAAGCTTAAAAGAACAGTTTATCTACTTCTCTGATGTGTTTGTAAGATTAGAACCAGAGCAGATTTCACTTCAGCATAAGCGCCCCCTCAAAGAGTTTCTGCTGTAGTTACTTTCCCCAGAACCTGCAGTCTAAGTAAAGACCCACGTGCTAAGCTTAAAAGAACAGTTTATCTACTTCTCTGATGTGTTTGTAAGATTAGAACCAGAGCAGATTTCACTTCAGCATAAGCGCCCCCTCAAAGAGTTTCTGCTGTAGTTACAAATCCTAGAAGATTCATGAGTGAAAATACATTCCCACTTCAAACAGAAATGTCATTTACCTGTTGCAGGAATACCTATACTTTTCATACTTTTACTACAAACAGTCTCTTTCTCATTCTTTGCAAGGGGGTTTCCACTACACCAGTTAGAAAATGACATCATTTTTCAAAGAAAAGTTGTAATTTGAGTAGTGATAGAGAAAGTGGCATTTGAGGCCCAATTCTGTTGTCAGCTGAGCAATTTATTTCTCCTTCAGGAAGCTAGAATAAACCTGCATTCTGTGGTCTTAAAAAAGTCCAGCTTGCTGGCAACATGTGTGCATTGCAAACATGTACTGAACTAATTGACTTCTTAAGTAAAAAAGAGATGCAAGTTCATCAAGTCAAATGCATTGGAGCCTTGTGCCAACTGCCTGTTAAATTTGCATTTTCTCCAACTACACTTGAAAAATGCAATATTTAGTTTTAATATCCGTTTCCTAAGTAACATTTAAGGCAGTCCCCAGAAGTCTTCTTTTAGTGGCATAGCAAAGACTTTCTTCTTTGAAAACAAAGAGGAAGGATTCAAGAGGGCTTTTTGATTTCTTGGGGTGGAGGAAAGTATAAAATCTGAAGTTACTTCCAAGTCAATAAGGCTGAAAATTTTTTTCCCTTGAGGTTTCCAGTCATGTACAGCAAATTCCAGGCTTGGAAGAGACTACTGCATCTTGCCAAGATTCATCCAGAAGGAGAAAAGCACTTTAAAGATAAAAATTCTAGTAATGGTCTTGCTTCTGGAAGCTTGCTGACTTCCTCTGTTGGGAGAACTGCCTTAGCTCCATGTTCTGTGACAACAGTCTGCTATCTTATCACAGAAATTATATATAGATCTCTAACATGTTTGGCTGCTGCCACATATCTTTCTCCTCAAAAGGGAGTGTAAATCTTGCAATTCTATGCATACCACAGATGCATAAACATACAAGTTTAAGGAACTTCATGGTAAGTGTGAGTTATTATTTCCTAGACCATGAGTACTTAACACAGGCACTTCTAGGATTTCTAATTATTCCATTCTGTAGATAACAACATGCATTTTTAAGACAAAAAAAACCCCCTTAACATCCATAATCCATAATGTATTGTTGATTTTTTTTTCTCTACATTACTATCAAGCTTACGCACACTCAGCTAAGACCAAAGAAAGGAATTCAATATCCATCTCCTTTTCTAAGTATGGCTTCCCCTCCAAACATAAAATTGTCTTTCATGCCTACTTAGGATTCTTCAGTTTGTCTTTCATTAAAACAACAAAGATAATACTAATTTATAAGTTATTTTTTTCACTTCATCAAGTGATCTCTTAGTCAGCTTCATTTGATCATCCAAGTCATCTGCCAAACAGTGCTGCTTGACTCCATTTAAGCGCAGACTTACTCCTTCATATACATCCTTGCACAGTGATATTTAATAGTACTCCATTTACCTTCTTCAAGAACTCAAATATCAAGAGGAATTCCCAGCCAAGTCAGATGTCCATTTGACATAGATTCTTATCTTGGAGACACCAGCAGCATATGCTTGCCAAAGACCATATAAGTAGCTAAGCAGTCAGAGATTCTTCCTCAGAATATACACCCAGCAGTTCATAGCTTGGCGACTTTCAAGAGAGGAGGAAACGTCATCAGATAAGGATGGAGTAACATTACCTTATGTTCTGTCTTTCTAAAATTAGGCACATTTTGTCCTTGTCTTTATTATCTTGAATAACAGCACTTTAAGCAGACTATTTGCTAAGTTTTTTTAATGTAGCATCAATATAAAGGATAAGAAAGCAAGGTAAGAAGTCTTTTAAATTCGTGATGGATTTTACATCCTGCAGTGAATAATTTCTTGCTATCTAACAGAGCTTTCAGTCTGTTGCAGGCTGCCCAAAATAGCATACCAAGCTCATGTCCAATCCAATAGACTTCGCTTTTGCAGCTAGTCAAAGCTGATACTGTACAACAATTATTTGCTCTTGGAGACCAGATTTATTAACATACCACCAGGTCTACAAACCCAGAAATCCCCTGCTACACTTCCAGTGTTCACCTTTCCATTATGCCCCTAATTATCTCCAAAGGAGTTTATTCTTTGTAAGCTTCTTGTTCAGGCTAATAAGCATTTTATTCTGAATGCTCTGCAGATCTTAGATTTACTCCTCATGCTCTCAGCTGAGAAACTAAGCAACTGTCTCTGTTTTTACAATACATATCTCCTACACTCTCCAGCTTCTCTTTTAGTTCAGGAGCCTTATTTTTCTTAACAAGAGGACTCCTCTTGAGATGCATACTCTCATCAGATGGCCTCAGGGCTCTTCACTTGATCCTAAAACATGGAACTGCTAAATCTGCTAAACCGCTTATAACTGGACGAGTCCTTCTCCCTCCCTAAGCTTGTGACAAACCCTTTATTTTCAAAGACATGAATTGCAATTTCCACAGAACTGGATCTCTTCGCTGCTTAAAGCCACAGTTTGGACTACAGATCATAGAATGCATCACTTACTGAAAGGAGCTCTGGTTCTATATCTTGGTTTTTAGTGAAATGTGATGGACCCATGTTTTTTGGCCTTGACATCCCTGCCCAGATTTAACAATGTCAGGGCTTTAGCCTTACTAACTTGATCCCTGGCTGCTCGGACAATTTCTCTGTATTCCTCCCAGGCTACCTGCCCTTGTTTCCCCTCTCTATAGGCTTCTTTTTTTGTGTTTGAGATTGTCTAGGAGCTCCTTGTTCATCCATGCAGGCCTCCTGGCTTTGGGAAGACCTTATAGCTGCTTTCCAGCACCTACAGAAAAGCTGGGGAGGGACCCTTTATCAGGGAGTGTAGAGATAGAATGACGGCTAATGGTTTTAAACTGCAAGAGGGTAGATTCAGATTAGATATTAGGGAGAAATTCTTTACTGTGAGGGTGGTGAGACAGTGGAACAGGGTCCCTGGGAAGTTGTGGATGCCCCATCCCTGGAAATGTTCAAGCCCTTTCTGGATGGGGCCTGGAGCAACCTTGTCTAGTAGAAGGTGTCCCTGCCCATAGGAGGGGGTTTGGAACTAGATGATCTTTAAAGTCCCTTCCAACCCAAATCATTCTGTAATTTTCGGTTTAACAATGAGAAATTTTGATTCTACATATTTATGAGTGGGGTTTCTAAATTCAGTTGCTGACAAATGCTAAATCTATGTCCATTTTAAAATAGTGTCATTTTTCATGCATTTTTTCATCATGATAATTACAACCTCAAAATTTATAAAGTGTAAGAATTCCCACCATTTTCAGTATTTTAATATTAATTTCTCCTCATCAACTCACTTCATTATGCTAAAGCTCTGAGTAGTTAAGAGTCTATACCACTTTTGGACACAAATGGAAGTGTATATTTTATTAATCAAGACTAACCTGCTTCTTCATGTTCAAATAAGATGTTAATCCAGTAAAGTATTTCTTAAGTATTGATCTAAAGCAGTTAATATAAAAATAGCATTCCAAATTAATTGCACCCCAAATAAACATATACTGCAAAGGATATTTTCTCACATAAGAACCTTTCTCCAAGAGCAATGTTTTACATTACAGTACTTAGTCTGCACTGAAGGCTATTTTAATGTACATATTCCAAAAAGACAAACGTAGTCATGTAATCCACTTTTTTCCCTTAAGAAACCCTCCCTGCTTCTATATTTTGCAAATTGGAAATAAACTAATTTTCTCTCCCCAACAAAACCTCAGAATTTAACAGAAAGCTTCTTTGAGTGCAAGCTCAGAGTGCAAGCTTCCTCTAGAAGAAGCTACGCCAATTCGGAGAATAAAATGGTTTCTCTGCCCAAACACAGACACATTTCATTAAATTTTATAGATAAATGCACAAAGTAAGCCACCCGCTGATTTACCTTCTTTTTCCACAACTGTTCTGGATTGTGGACCCAGATTCATAGACTTTAAAAGAAAGGAGGAAGCATATTATGATATCCTAATCTGACCTTTCAGACCTGGGAACGGTATAATTTCTGCATCATGCCTCTGAATTCTGTTTCAGCGAAACTGTAGGCTCTCTTATTGATGGACTTTCAGACCTGGTTTATAAAGCTCAAAAGCTAAAGAGTCAAATAGCACTCCTGGGTAAAATAGTTCTGTAATTCAGTTTAAGAGGTATCCGAATACTTTTCTTGAATTCAACATTAACATCACAAACAGGAAGACTTAGAGTATGGGTCTCATATGAATATTACAAAAGTAGATTTGTATCACATTAAATGGAACTAATAGTCCCGTGCATGCTCTTCTGTGGCTAGACAGGTGGATAATAAATGCAAGTGTGCACATAAATGTTCTATTCCTCTCTTGGAGGCAAACATTGAAGGAGACCGTCAGTTTGCTCGTGAGGTTGTAAAAGCCTGAAACGCATTTCCTGTTTGTAAGAAAGCAGGTGAAAAAGAGAGACTGGAGACCTTTGAGACTGACAGCAACTCTAGAGATAGATTCATGCTGCCAGGTCCAAAACAAAAGGGCATCCAAGGTCTGCCAATATAACTTGATTTCCTGTTGGATAAAGGGGCGGGAAGTATTCCTAGAAACAACAAAACCAGGTAAGACTTATCTTTTCAGTATTATAAACTTGTAAACAAAGGAGCAGTAAAAACACGCTATGGTAGACTACCAGTCTTCCAAGAAGGTTCCTCAGGGTTCTGAAGTCAAATATTTAATAATAATCACGGCGATGATGAATCATCAGCAACAGCTTAAGCCTTCATTAATTAAGGTTTGTTAATGAAGACTAAGCATTGGCATTAGTTTTGTGCTTAAAATATTTACTGTGATGAGGTTTTCTTATTTTACAATGTGCTGCTTCCCTTCTGAAGTATGAATTTGATATCTTACAAAGCAATTAGTTGTGTGTTAATTAATTGCAGTTTAAGGAATCCTTTCCGGAGAATTAATCCTCTCTTAAAAAATCACACAGGTGGAAATATCTCTAATGTTAATTTAAAATTCATCAATCTCTTAATAAGTTTATTTTTCTTAGGGTCATTAGTACAGAATATTATTTATTTCACCATTTAATTGGGGGGGGAAGCCAATTTTATCTCACCTTTGACAAATTTGTGGACAGAAACAACAGGAAACAAACTGTTTTGTGCTCCAGATCATCATCGTAAATCTAGTAGTGACCGAAGTAATTAATCTGCTTCTGTGAATGATGAGTTGATACCATGGATGGCATGTCCAGTTCTTGCCAGACAAGTATCTATGCTCCCCACCTTGTTTTCCTTTTCAGTAGTAAAAGCTGGTAGAAGTGTAATATCTTCCTGTTACACTTTGTGATGGATTCCCTAAATAAAATACATTAGACCAAGAAGGAACAAAACTTAATAGTGCTACCCATTCTTATGCTGTTTGGAGGGTAAACACCTATTTCTAGCCCTGAATTGTTAAATCTGGCTCCTTTCCCCAAAGGTAAGTGTGATTGTGTTCACTCTTTGAGTTGCAATAACATTGAATTGCAAAAATGAACGTAGGGAAAATTAGAATGTTTTGGGAGCTTTTGGTTGGTCGGTTATTTTTTTGTTTGCTTCCCTCTCCACCTCCCTACCTTCACCTCCCCACCTTCACCTCCCCGCTTACAGAATAATGAACCCTGCAAAGAGAAAACCTAAGAGCAAGTGACCAAAAGTCTATTCATTCCTATGTCTTGTCTATATTGGTGGTAAAAATTGTCGATAGATTTAAAAAGGAGAAAAAGCACAATTAATCACATCTCTAGAAAGTCTTTTGTTTGCCTTTTCTGTGAATATAGTACTGTTTAGATTATAGCAGTGTAAAATATACTGAGGAGACAAGTAACCCCATCCCTAAAATTAGAAAAGTAAAAACGTCATCCAGATGGTGTAAAGTACTTAAGGCAGATGTTCTACTTGGATGCAGCTCCAAGTTTGGCCCTTTCCAAATAGAAAAGAAAGAAGAGCAAAGTACTATCACTCTTAGGTTTTTCCTATCACAGATAGATTATTGCAGAAAACCCTGATGGAATTTGAGCTTACCTTGTTAGAATCATAATATACTATTCGCAGGGGCCTAATTTTTCATTAGGATGTTTTTTTAAAGATATAATAAAACTTTTAAAAATACTTAATTTGATGGCAGTTGAGTGTGAATGCCCCAAACAGTGCTATGAGTTCTTTGGAATAAATATGTAATAGGTAAAAAAAAATTAAAAGATCTGGCTATGTTTGACAGTAGATAACTTGAATGAGAATTAAAATTGGAAAATAGAATACACTATTTCAGAAAAAACTATAATTAGTCTAACAGACTTTTCTTTAGAAGAAAAGTTTATTTCTCACTCTCCATCCACAGTAACCCTATCTTTTTTTTTGTTTTTTTTTGTCTTTAGCACAACCAGTTAATACTCACAGGCTACATCTGCTATTATACATGTAGGGACAGCAGTGTAGTTATCTGAGGAGACAGACTGTTCTTCAAACAGGTATTCAGCTTTTTTTCTACTGATGCTGTTGTCAAAATAGTAAATAAATAATGCAGTTATAAATGTACATTGCTAGCACATTGGCAACAACTATAGGGGTAGTGGAAGAACATCTGGGAAAGAGCTGGGAGCTGTATACCAGTAAAGCAAAGACATAAAATCAAAATCTTTCATTTTTTGTACTTAGACAGTAAGATTACCTTGAAACTGATTTTAGAAAAGCATAGAGCACTCAGAGAAACATTCATGTGTCTCTGATTAAGGTCTTTACTATGGTTTTATGCGGTAAATGAAAACTGCTGTTGTTTCTGAAACAAACATTTGTCTGAGCAACAAATAGCTTGTATTGCAATGACATAAAAAAAGATACTGAAGGCAGGTATGCTTGTATACATTCTACTGAAATACAAGCAGGTACTTAAGTTAAAATTGTGGAAAATAACTTTTAAATAAAGTGTTCAACTTGGAAAAAAATTAAGTATTTTTTTTTCTTCTCACACTCATGAAGTTCTCTAAACCACGATTTAGGAGGAGCTATAGATTGTGAGTGTTAAAACATTGGTATATTTTATTAGAAACCCAAGTTTCATGTCTTCTGTTTTGTTAGAATGTTTTTAAAATCCTAAATAAATAGGATTGCTCAAATACCGTAAAAGTTAGACCTCAAATTGAAAAGGGAAACAATTTTTTTTGAACCTTTACTCTTTTCCAGATAATAACTCCAATTTAAATCAGAAGTTGAAATGCACACACAAAAAAATTAAAAATAATTGTAATCAAAAATTTGGTTATTTTGTCTACTTCACTTAAGGGGTTGAATATATTCAATTTGAAACTTAGAGTTCTCCTGCTCTGGAAACACCAGGGAAAAATAGGATTCCTGAATCAGAAAGATAAATGACAACATTCAGTATCAAGAAAAAGGTACAAATTTAGATTCCAGTTGTACTTGAGGTATCTACTCATTCTTTTTATTCTAATGAATCATAGGGCTATAGTTTCTATCACAATTATGTGTGCTTCCCTTCTTTTAGGCCACAATTTTGCTTTTGCTCCCTGGGGAAAAAAAAAAAAGTAGGAAAATAAATGAATAAGAAGTGAATATAAGAAAAAAGGGAAGGAATCACTTCAGAAAAGATAAAGGGACAACAGAAGGCATTATTCAGAAAATATATTGAGACTTCAAAGCTCTTGTCCTTGACACAGAGTTCTTGTAGTTTTGGACAGGTTGCGTAGGATGCAAATGTTGCCGAGTGACTAATTATAGAGTAACCAGATTCCAAACACTGATGGTTCTTGATGTGCCCCAGTAACATCCTCTCAAGGTGAGATCTCCCTTTCTTTTAATTCCTACTCTGAAAAACTGGAACAATATATAGCTGCTCCATGGGGGTGTTGTCTCTACCCATGAATATCTGTATCTCATTGCAAAAACATGCGTCTCAGTCTAAAAAGTAGTATTGCAATGATGGAGAACCCTCAAATACCTTCGGCAGAACTCAGGTAGGAGAAAAGAAAGGAATGGAAATAGAATGTTTAGTTCAACAGGAAGGATAAATCATCACTGGAATTACCATGGGCAAAACCCAGTTATGAGTCTGTTAGAAAGTTACACTTTATTCGCTTCGTTTCTTCATTCCTAAGGAAGGAAACTTGCGTTGTAGAAGCCCATGTGATTTGTGATTTTTTTACTACCAAGAATTCTCTTTGCTTGTTTCATCATCGTAAAAACATTTTTGACTTGGAATAAAACAAAACTAAAAGAGTTTTGGCATAACCAATACAATTAGGGCACAAAACCCGTAAGGGGCAGTTCCTAAGTTCAGCTGGAGCTGATCAGCCAAGGAACTAAACTTTCTTCTCACCAGGAACCCGTGCATTGCCATCCACTGCCCTCGGTCAGCAACATGGGGACATGTATCCCCATACTTCTTTATCTCGGCTTTCCTTTAAGAAGCAAACAAAATGGCAGCCTTGTGAAGGAGTCCAGCTATCTCCAAACCAAACAAGAGCGTGAAGGACCTGCTCGAATCCCACACTCTTCCCTTCACTGCGCTGCCCCAGCTAGACTTTTCTTGTGTGGTATTAGTGGAGTTCATGAGTTTTTTGGATGAAGCATTATTTCAGACACTCCAAATCTATAAGAACACGACACACACCCCTGGGGAAAGTGGAAACATCTAAATTCAAGCTCCTTTCACTCATGTATTTGGCTTTGCATTTCCACTGTCAAGGAAGGGTTTCACAGGCCATTTGCAGCAACGCTGATCATTCTGGCCATTAGGCTGTCAAAGGCTATTTTCTTCAACATGGTTTGCGATGCAAAACTTGTATGTGCTAGGTTAATCAAAGAATTCATTAATTGAAAAAATAAGTTTGGTGTATGTGGGTTCCTTCCTGTGTTCCGCAGTTCAAGAAGCGGCAAGCTCAGCGTTCAATTAAGTCGCCCATCTTTTACCAAGTGATTCTTCAGGAATTGTTTGGGTTTTTATCTGCACTAGTTCCAGGGGGTTCATCGGTTCCCAGCTACTGCTCTTCCTTTGCCACTACACCCTCTACTTTCTCAGGAAGGAGAGTGAGAATAGGAGTAAAGCAAGTGGTTTTAATAGGAGATAGAATAACCAACCTTTGAAATTTGTTGCAGGGATTGTTGTAACCCGGTGATTGTTTCCAGTGAAGTAAGTTATTTTGACCGAATTAATCTTCAGAACTACATTCACAAAAACTAAAATTTGGCAAAAAAATTTACTGCAAATAATAAGTTAAAGATAATTACAAAAATAATTCTAAAGCTATTCACTAAAATTACCTTTTTCTTTAGCAATTTCAGATTTTTACTGCATCTTACAAACAAACTAATAGCCCAACCTTTGGCTGAATTCCTATGAAACAGTAGTTCTGCTAACAGTTTATTGATGTTGCCCTCTTGTTATTTAGCACCTACTTTTGATATTAATTATTTAGCTTCTATAGCAATGGCTGTCACAGAGTAAACAACAAAACAGCAGCTTGCATTGAAGAAAGCAAAAATAAGCCAACCGCAAAGAATACAGCAAAATTATTAGACAACACAAACGGTAAAATTATTTTCTTTCAGTTACAGAAATGAGCTGCCATTTTTCCGTCTGGGGAGTTTTGGCCTTTCTGAGCTTGGCTCTGATTGTTTCATTGATACTGAACATTTCACACTATATGAAAAAGAAGCAAGGTAAGCAATGTTGTCTCTCCATAAGGAATGGAGTTTGAATGTTTGAAGTGTCTGTAGAGAAAACCATCACTGCCGGGAGATTTCAAGGCAACAAATTGATTCTTTTGAATCTTAAAGTTACATTTCGGCAAGAATGATTCTAGTAGAGAGGATGTAACTTTTAAAAATTTTTAGAAGAGTTAGGAATGATTACAGAATGACTGCTGTCTGCCCAGTCTGCTGCTAAAAGCAACCCCCCAAAACCATTCTTTGAAGACAAAGACAACAGAACACGTACTTGGTGAAGAATTTTGTTCTAGCTAAATTTTTATTTTTAAAGTATATTTTAACGTCTGTAATTTCCTTTTTAAGGTGCATTTTTTATGTAACTGGTTATTACTTCTATTAAATTTTAATTTCTTTTTTCAGTATCCGCATTAATACAAAATACATTTGAGAAAATTTTCTCCTCCCAAAATTCCTGAATGCTTATGTGAATTTCAGATTTCATACACATTTTATGCCTAATCAGTTTATTTAAAAAAAGTTCTAAATGCTTTTCATCATGGGTTCCTAATGCAACTCTTAAACCAATGCATCACTCACAATTAGGAACTAATTTATTTAACTTATGTTAGAAGGCGACTGCAGTCATACTCTGGTTTTAGTTAAAATTAACTATGACTTTTTAAAAATAATTGATTATGCCAGCACAACCTTTCTTATGCATAAAAGTCTACAGTTATTAAGTTATACAATCCTCACTACTCCCATTCAGGGAAAAACTGCCTTTTCACAGGGAAGGTTGCACCTGTGCTGTATGTGTGTGGACAGGCAGGCAAACATCGGTGGATTCAACCACTTTAAACAAATACACATATACGATCTACATAAACAAAAGGCCTATGACTAGAAACTGAACTCACCAAGTATAAGAGAATTAGTATGACGCCAGGATATTAGAAGAACTGTTGGAGTGTCGTGAGATGTGGGGGGGTGTGTGCCTTTTTGGATTATTTTGTCTTTCAGTGCTACTAGGCAGATATTTCTATGATGAAAAAATCACACTCATTTACAAAACTAACCTTGAGCAAGGTTTTGGTCAGACTGGCAGATGCTGCATTGAGCATGGAATCAGAGTCTACCGTGGTAAATTCTGGAGTCCCGGAGCAGAGGATAGAAAGTCAGGCATTCCTGAGTTAATAATCAACCTCTAGCTATAAATCTCTTTGTAGCTGCTGCCTCTCTGCTTCAGTTTCCTCATCTATGTGGATCACAGGATATCTGTCTTTCAGAGACACAAGAAACAGAACTAGTAGAATAAATAAACCCTTCACCTTGCAATATAAACACATGATACGTCTCTGTAACCAGAGAAAAAGTTCACAGAATCACAGAATGGTAGGGGTTGGAAGGGACCTTTGGAGATCATCTAGTCCAACCTCCCTGCCAAAGCAGGCTGGACAGGAATGTATCCAGACTCCACAACCTCTCTGGGCAGCCCATTCCAGTGCTCTGTCACCCTCAGTTTTCCCACAGGTTGAGATGGAACTTCCTGTGTTGCAGCTTGTGTCCAATGCCCCTTGTCCTGTCACTGGGCACCACTGAGAAGAGCCTGACCCCATCCTCTTGACACCTGCCCTTTAGATATTGATAAGCACTGATGAGTTCCCCCCTCAGTCTTCTCTTCTTCAAGCTAAACAGATCAGATCTCAGCCTTTCCTTATAAGAGAGATGCTCCGGTCTATTGATCATCTTTGTATCCCTCTGCTGGACTCTGTCCAGCAGGTCCCTGTCCTTCTTGTACTGGGCAGCCCATTCCAGTGCTCTGTCACCCTCAGTTTTCCCACAGGTTGAGATGGAACTTCCTGTGTTGCAGCTTGTGTCCAATGCCCCTTGTCCTGTCACTGGGCACCACTGAGAAGAGCCTGACCCCATCCTCTTGACACCTGCCCTTTAGATATTGATAAGCACTGATGAGTTCCCCCCTCAGTCTTCTCTTCTTCAAGCTAAACAGATCAGATCTCAGCCTTTCCTTATAAGAGAGATGCTCCGGTCTAACCACTGAGAAGAGCCTGACCCCATCCTCTTGACACCTGCCCTTTAGATATTGATAAGCACTGATGAGTTCCCCCCTCAGTCTTCTCTTCTTCAAGCTAAACAGATCAGATCTCAGCCTTTCCTTATAAGAGAGATGCTCCGGTCTATTGATCATCTTTGTATCCCTCTGCTGGACTCTGTCCAGCAGGTCCCTGTCCTTCTTGTACTGGGGGGGCCCAGAACTGGACACAGCACTCCAGATGCGGCCTCACCAGGGCAGAGCAGAGAGGGAGGATGACCTCCCTCAAAAATGAGCATGGCTAGCAAGTCATGCACCCCAGATGAGGTAGATACAGAAGGAGCAGGAAACAAGGAATTAATTGCATGTGTTACAATACATTTCTGGGGTCTTGTAAACTAACATAGACTTTGCAGCCACAGCACAGGCTTACAACACAAACATTTCTTATATTAGTCAAAAGTATTTGAGAAAAGCAGGGGGACAACTGAAGGTCCTGAAAGCCAAGAGCTTTCAATTTTACTCTCTACAGTGAAACCAAAAGCATGTCAGTTAAGACAATTATCTGAAGTGTTCTAAAACAGCACTTTTCATTTTCTCTTAATTTTTTTTTTTTTTTTTTTTACGAATTTTCCAGCTAAAATGTATAAAGAATATGAAGACAACAGTCCAAGGTAAGTTGGATAAAACAGTTTCTTTCTGGCAAGGGTGAAATAAGGCATAAATAATGACAGATGGCTTTGGAGGGACGGCATAGAGCAAAATCCAATATCTCATGCAGCCTGTCTGGAAATGTTGGAGAGCAGGATGGTTGTGGAGAAAAAGTTCTCCAAAGAAAACAGAAAAAAAAATACAGTACTCCAGTCTGGAATATTCCGGTTCTTTGATGAACAATGAAATAATTGCATGCTAAATTATATAATTTTATATACTGAAGGAAGTGCAAGATATTGAGCTAAAACACTATTTAATATCAAACTCAATAGATCTGTAACAATGAAATTTATCATTTTTTTCTCAGAAAACAATGATAAATTATAGTTTGATATTTAATACTTGTGGAGCAATATTTTATATGTATTTATGTTTCGTAAACTTCTTTAACACATAATGTTCAAAAGCAATAAAATGGAGTCTTTTTTACAGTTGTTGGATACCTCATGATCTGTTACAAGTCTGTTTCTCTTATTCCATATTAAAAAAACCACAGAAACAGAGATGGAAAGAGTCTCATCTCAACCCAGACATAAAAGGCCCTTGAAACAAAAATATGAAAGCCTTCACCAGTTCCCCCAAACCAATCCTGAATTACAAATTTACTTGAAGCTGGGAAGTCTGTCTATTACAGCTGCCTGTTCAGCTAAAAAATACCACTGTAAAAGTGGGGTTAGGTTGCATTACTTCATTCCCTTGACAAGACACAGTACAGGGATGCAATGGGAACAAGGCTACACAGTGTTTCCCATTAACAATTCCCATTTTTAAGAATATGCTTAAAAATATTTTCAAGCAACACCAGGTAATGAATCACAGAATACCATTAAATATCCAAAGCTGAACTTTGCTCTGGTCATCTCTAGTTGTGACGATATAAGTATTTTAGTTGAATCAAGACCGGACTTTCTAAGAAGACCTCCTCAAAAGACCCATTTAGTGCTTTAGTTTGTGTTGCAAAGTGGTCTCAGAGGGCATGAGCTGGGATCGTTTCAGTGATCATTAATATTTCTAGAACTACATCAAACAGTAGCTTAGTAGTCTTGAGATTAGCTTGATTAATAGAGTTATGGAAAAAAAAAGAGTTCAATTCTTGACCAGATAACAAATCTCTCTCCCGAATATGAACATTGCCATTTCCTCTCTTTCTGCAAAACTAGTGTTTCTGTCCCCTCCTACTACCTTCCCCCTTTCCTCCCCCAGGCATATAATGGGATCCTAAACAAAGCATATTCTGTGAATTAAAGGTATTTTTCCACTCGCCTTCTAGCTATGATGACTATTACACAGAAGATGACCCAGTTTATGGCAATCTCAATCAAGATATTTTAGGTAAGCCTCACTTTAAGATCATGTGTCTGTTCAGAGGCTATAATAAATGTATGGTTAAAAGAAACAGTTTCTGTGTTTCTCAAATAGCAAACTTGAGAATTTATCCCTTCTCAATTGCTGTATAACTACTTGGGGTAGAACTGCAAACCATCATACTGCACAGCTCTTTTTAGGACCAGATCCCATACCAAATTTGACTTCTTACAGTCCAAAAGTGGTCCTGTTCAGCCAAATATCTCAAACCCAACAGCCCCACCAATTGAAATAGCAGCTTGATCCAAGCACGTTAAAGTGATCTAAGTCACTGCCCGAAGGCAATGCTGCCACAGAAGCTGGCAGAAACACCTGCTGCTGTGGCTATCCACAGATCATCAGCAATGTTGACAAATATGCTGAAACAAGCCCAGGGGCTGAGCGGTGGGCTGACATAACTTTCCTCTGCTTTACTGGGCTGAAATTAATAATCTTTGGCAGAGAGATACCACATTAAAGGCAGCAACATCATATCACTGCAGCTCGAGCTAGACACGCTGAGGGTATGTCTTTTGAAGCACTTACGGTGTTAAAGCAGTATTTAAGTAGCACGAATGCAAGTTTTTTGCTACCCTTATTTGGGGCTAAACAAAGCTGAACTTAAGTACTTCAACTTCAGGGAAAAAAGACCCCCAACTTTTTCATATAGGGTTTGCATAAATTAAACTAAGCCAACCCTCAAACACATTGACACCACAAAGGCCTGAAAACTCTTAAGCTTACTGTAAGTAATCTGTTTTACTGATGGCTAAAATGAGACATGGCATGAGAAAATAACTTGCATGATATTTACAAAAAACTGAAAGTAGAGTCAAGAATAGAATTTAATCACCAGCTGCTGCAACTCACAGCCTCTTTCTCAGCCAGAGAAAAGATTGCCTATGCTGAAAAATACATCAGTATGCAGTTACCCTCTAATTGCAAGATGTCCTCCTAGCAGTCTAAAATCATGCCCAACTAGACAATAATGAGAAACTTCCCATCCATATGAGCAGAAAATGATTTTCACTTTCACAGTATGTGTGTCTGAATTTCTTAGCTATTTGCCCCTCTATAAATAGAAGGAGAGATCTGCATGTGATTTCAAAACAAAATAAACTCCTACCAAAGTAAACTGGAGGGAGTTAGTTCTGCAATAAGAAGGATCTGTTGATCTGATCTTTTAAGACTCAGTAGGTTGTCTTAACTAAAACATTTTTCTACTTTCATAAATTACAGAGGAATGTTGTTATGAGCAGATGAAGTCCCAGCCTCAAAGGCCAGTTAACCAACTACAGGTATATTTAATTTTAACTCTGGATTTCTAAATTAGGGTAATGTGGTCTGTCTTGTTTTTCTCTTGTGTTTATCCCATGACAATATATAACAACAAACCTTCACATTGCTCATCACAAAAATTACCATGCATTAGTGTCTCAGTTCATCAGGGAATTTAAGCACAAACTTGACCCTTCATTCAATGTGGGTCATTAATGAGGGAGCAGGAGAATTACAGACAGCTCATTTCCATTCATATGGCTTGATAAAGCTCAGGTCACAGACATGCAGATTAGGCTGAATTAAACCTGCATCTACCTCCATAGTTTATGTAAAGAATTAATTTAATTTATTTTGAACTTCAACCAAGTGAAAACACAAGCTGTGTCACATGATAATCATGACTTTGACTGGCTCTCTCCTGCCCAGCAAAAAAATCTATATATCTTAACAAATTAAAGACGACTGTTTTTCTATTGATATGTATTTTGTTGAGATACTTGGACGCCTAAAAGCATGCAAGTTTCAACTGAAATTTGTCTGTAATTGAAACATTCCTAGCATCAATTTCCTGAATTGATTTCCAGGTTTTTCATAAGGACTGATTTCCAGCCCCTCTCAGGATAATTCCAGGTGGTAGAAATATCCCTTTTTTATTAAGACATTTCTTTTCATTAACTTCATGGAAATAGAATAATCTATGAAAATTCCAATGTCAAAAGTGCTTAGCAACTTGGCTTGAAAAACAGAGAGCAGGCAAAGACATGTAAAGTATACATTTTGCACTGGAAATTAGGTTATATGTACATAAAGGAATCACCCACCTTTGGTTTTCTGCAGACAAAACCTGTGAAAAATGTTATTGCTAATAACTGGATTTTAATTAAATAAAAAAAAAAGTGGGAAGGAAACCAGATCAAGTAATGTCTTGCACCCCAAAGAACTTGGACCGATTAAATAAGCCACCCTCATTCCCACAGAGACTCTTTCCAATAATACCTTGATTAATTTTTCCTAAGTCACTATCCTAAGAACATGAGTCATTTGCCATTAGGTTATGTCGGTCTGTTTTCTCTGGGCCCACAGCTTAATCATTTGTACTTTAAATGAGTTCATTTACAGCTAGTTTAGGTAAACTTCAGCTGGTATTATGGTAACAGCTGCTATTAAGTCTTAGACATAATTTTAAAGCAAGCATAACTACTGACTGTTAAATAAACAATGAAATTCCTTCTAGGTGGAGTCTGCCAATCAGATGTGTTATGCCTCACTTGATCACAGCATCAAGGGAAAACGCAGAAAACCAAGGAGAAAGACAGACCCTTCATTACAGGGGGATGAAGAAGAAAGGTCATCTAATCCCACCACGGTGGCTTCCAAAGTTAGCATTTACCTGAATAGTGAGCAGCTGGCTGCTGAAAACACAGCAGCAGAAGCCATTCATGACGACCCCATCAGATTAATGGGTTTGATTCATCCTACAAAAGGAGAGAACATTTGAAGTAGCTTCATGAACCAAACAATCATGTAATCATAAAGCAAGATCTACTTGTTCATTCTGGAGGAACAATGAACAATTAGAGATAATATCCTGGCAAAATGACATACCAGACAATGGTATAAAATGGGTAAGTGTTCCAAAGTGTCTTCCAAACACATTTAGAGAATAAGCAAGAAATAAGGTCCAGACTGCCACTTTGAAGGACCTACCCTTCTGAAGACATTTTGAAAGGGAGTTGTAGAAGCTGGTATCTCAGCATTCGCATCGTATTGATTCCAGTAAAAATTAATCCTTTGTTTAAACTTTCAAATAGCCCCAAAAGACCCACTCTGTTATCTGTAGAGCTCTAGCAGAGTAGGACTGCTAGAGTTATATAGGTTTTAACAATACTTTTGGAAGGAAATCATGTTTCATAATTGCACATTTGATGATTTAGTTGTTTTCCCAATTAAAAACTGATCTGCTGTTCAACATCTTGTGCTTTCCCACTGTGACTGGTCTATGGTAATAACACAATATATCTAAAGCTAATTGGAGAACAATTTAACAGCTTGTTTAAAGTAGCAATTGTACATCTCACAAGATTTAACAATATCCTTATACATCCTTGTTTCCTTCTGCGAGCAATACCCAAATACATCTCAAATCCCAACTCCTCTACTAATGCAACATCGGATCCAGCTGTATTCAAGAATCAAAAAGATATTGGCAAATGATCTGTAACAATAAATCTCCTAGGGAGGATTTTTTTCCTTCTAATTTTCTATGCAATGCTTAAATTCCTATTGTGGTTTACATTGCCATTATTACCAACTATTTTACAAAAGTAGAGTTTTTTATTTCCCCAAATAATTCAGATATTGTGCACATGCATCTTGAGACCTTAAACTCAACAGATGGTAAATTTGTATAGAATGGGGATTTACTTTTATATTCTGGGACTCATTAATTAGTAGCAGCAGGAAACAACGTAGTATGCCTACCTTTAGGTGTCAGATAGTCCTGCCTTCTCAAAAAAAGGACATTAGTGCCTTTAAAATCCACAGAGAGCACAGTGTCAAGGAGCTTGAAACTCTGAAGCACATAGAGCCCTGCAAGTGTTTCACATCCTGAAGGAGACAGCCCTCAAAGTAGTTACAAAAAACCAAAACACTCATAGTACAAAGAGCCAACACCTCCTCTAAAAGCAGAAGTGGACGGACACCTCCAGAGACGGGATGAATTTATGAAGGGGGAAGAACAAACAATCAATGGAAAAGAAACAGTTGACAGTCTGGTTCATATTTAGTTTAGGTCATAGTTAAATGAGTCTCTTTAATGAGCCTTAACTTCTGTGCTAAACCAAAAGGAAAAGGGGTCAACCGCTGCAGGCAAAGCTGCCCAGCGTCACTGTCTGTCTTGTGCTAGCACTTGCTTTTGTGTGCACACATCAAGTCAACATACGTTTGCCTGTTACACCACCGAAACAAGGCAGGGTTGAATTAAAGTGACCGCCTTCTCATGGTCCTAGACCAACTCCCACTGGGTAAGCAAAAATAAAAACTGTTACAGAATTGAAAAAAAAAAACCCACTTTAATTGAGAACCATATTAAACAATAATCCTGACTAAGACCCTGAGGAGGGAGAGGAGGAAAGCGGATCCAAAGCTGAACACCAAGATATGAGCGCTTGATGTTCCAACTTAATTTGATTAGATTGGAAGGTAGTATACTTTGTTCCATAGTAGGAACAAAATAAATAATAAAATACATATCAAAATACTCTTGCTTAGACTCATATCAAAGCTGTTTAAAGAGCATTAACATGAGAAATATTTATATAAATATTCATATCAATTTACCTGGCACCAACTGGATGCAATACTCAGCCCTCTGAAATGATTAAAAGAAAAAGCTTTCTTAAACAATCTCTCAAGCAAATAAGCACAGGTCCAAGAGCTATTCGTTACTATTTTCCAACATACATACAATTTCCGTACAGTTTGTACAAGATTTGCTATTTCCCAGTTTTCTCACAGCATCTGCACTCTGATTATGCCTTTCCTCTAAAACTTCCAAAGACAAAGAGCTTCTATCTATGAGTTACCTAAATTCAACCTGTTATTTCAGCCTGGTCCTTAATTTAATGGAAATGAACACCACATTTCTCTCATTGAGTGTACATGTACAGTGAGTCCCCTTCATGGGCTTTAGGTGCATCTAGTCTCCTCTGTATTCTTAGTCATCATTATTTAGTCCAACTATTTATTCACACCAATTTTCAGCAGTTGCTTTCCCTTGCAACATAAGCTTGCTAAAAGAGCAGGGCACTTTTGTAAACATTCTCCTTCAATAAAAACTTCCTTTCCACATTTAATCACTGCTTCTGTTAAATTATTCACTGCTGTTCTCACAGACTTTGTTTCAGGATCATCTTTAATGGCCTGTCAACTGTTTTCAAGGCATTTCTAATGCTGCCAGTCCACATTTAGCTTTATTCCTCCAGCTGTTTACCCTATATCTGCTTAAATAAGCAAATTAATTACTTTTTTTTTTAATGACTTTTTGGGATAGTTTTCAAATGACTACTGAATTCTTATATGAAAAAGCACGTTCAATATTGCTCCATCTTCAAGCCATTGGAGCAAGATCTACATAAACCATCATATATTAGTTAAATTCTTTATGTATAATGAAAGTTTCAACTAATTACAACAAAATAAGAAAAGAAGATGTTAGGTCTAAGGTTTGTACTGTCTCAGTAACATAGCCTGTTTTTCCAGCATTCTTAACAAAAATTTTGAAGCAAAGGAAGCAGTGTGAAGCTATTTTTATTAACAGTAAGCTTAGCATTCAAGTATCAGTTCAATGGAACAGTGAAGAAAGAGTAAACAAGAAGAAATATGGTGGAAATAGTAAGGAAGGAAAAGAAGGAAAGGAGAACAGAGCTCAAAACATAAGAGGCATTAATTAGCAGCATGAAATCTTTTTAAGTGTGGGATGGGTATACTCCAGGATTCATTAAAGCATCAGACAATCACTGCAGATGCAGCTGTCTAAACTGTATTGATGGAAAAACAGCAGACTGTCGGTTATATCATACTGAAGAGTCTGCAGACTCAAGTGGATATTGGAGGGTCAAACTCCAAAAACAGTTGTGTAACTTTCTCGCACTTTTTGCTACTGCTAGCATCACAAAGGTGGCACTGGGATGAGCTTATCTTCCAACATCTCAAGGATTTTCAAGAACTACATCTCTTAAAATCATTTTGAAGTAATTTCCTTGTAGGTAATGAACAGTTGCTATATCCTTTCAATAAATTTACCTTCCTACCTGGGTAAGTCTGCATTCAGGTAGCCATGTAGAAGTCATAGCTAGAATCAGAACATGTCCAAAACTCAATTCCAGGTTACCTTTAAGTTATTTTAGAACACAAAACACTAATGGATTTATGTAATCTCACAGAACTGGTGTATCAAGGAATACTGGGAAGTAACTACCTCAACAAACCCAAGGGGAAGAGAGTTCATAAAGCATATTCCCTACAGTTCATCCATGTATGGAAGAGGAAGTAAAATGAGCCACAAAAAAATTTCCAAAAGACAATCTTGTGTGGCTGTTGAAGGAAACATAACATACAAGTGATGAGGGATAGAATGTGTGTGGGTATATTGCAGAGGTTCTTGTCTTATTGCAGAGTAAACCTCACTGAAGCTGGCTGCTTCTTCCATTCAAGAACAACACTTAACAAGATTTGGTTTTAAGAGCTAAAAATAACAAACAATTCCTGTCTGCCCAGAAATGAAGTAAAACAAAAGGAAAACATCGGGTTTATTTATTTTTCCCCCTTTTCTGGAGCTCAGAAAACTGACAAGGAGCAATGCCGATAAAACAACATACTTGACCCGACACCACTAAATTTCCTTGCCAAGAAAGAGCACAGCAATGAAAACCTGTGGGACCCTACCACACCATTCCCATGTATTTGCTGCAGGTATGCAAACTCCTCCTGAGAATCCACGTGCCTGAAATAACATGTTGAAAGCAGGTTTTTTTTTTCAGAATAGATTTTTATTTAGAATATATATTTTGTCACATAGAATTTTGTCAGAACATGGAATCTAGTTATCAAATCCAATAAAAATTATAAAATTTCATTAAACAATCATTTTTGGTGAGCAACTTAGAAAACTTAATATTAAAATTACATTGCAGGCATATTACAAGCCATAGTATATAATACTGGCATTTCCAGCCCAGTTTAGATTTTTTCATTTAATACTGATACATCTATAAAGCATGAATAAGCAGGAATGCAGCAGAAAGAGCTTATTACTTATCTTACTATTAATACGTTAAGAATCAAAGCTTATCAACAGATTAAAAGTTAATACAATGTTCTGTTATTATAAACACTAGTAAATACATAGCTTGAACCTGACCATAGAAAGGAACCCTGATACCCTGCAATACCTGATGAAGCCAGAGGAGTAAGAAGTGCCCTGTCAGAAGGGACAAATCAGTTCCTGAAGATTTATAATACCGCAAAGTGTAAGTGAGGACTAATTGTATATTACATATATATAAAACATCTTTGATTCTTGGAAGAGGAAAGAAAAACAAAACCAAACCAAACTTTAAAAATCAATATTTTCTCCGTAGCAGTCCAGGAATGCTTCTTGGTGAGCTTTGACCAGGCAGTCATCCAAGGGATTGCTAGGATTTTTTTCTTTCCCATCAGTGTAACTTAGTTTTCTGGATACCCTATAGAAAAGAATTGTTTAGATGATAAAGTAAATTACACAAAAATACCATGCTTACTGAAACTCTGATGAACAGAATGAAATTGAAACAAATCAACAAAACAATATATCTGAACATCTTGACCGTGAGCAACAGCAGGACTCCTTGTCTGCATTCCTTTGTGCTTTCACCTGGAGAGGAAACTTTTCATCCAATGTCATTTTAGTGTCTCATTAAACATTAACCTAAATTAAATAAATATCTATTAAATTTTGCGATGCAATCTTTGAATCTATTCACAAATAGCTAAACATGGAAGATACAAGTGAGAAAACAATGATTTTCTTTAAGAAAAGGCATAGTTTTTTTAACATGTCTTTTAAACTATTTTGGTTTCTATCTGACAATTAGGTATAGCAGTATAGCTGTGGGACAGCAGTCACAAAGAGCTGAAGAAAAGTTTGTTAGTTATGAACGTTTCCTTTTCTGAAATAGCTCATTCATAAACCTCTTCTAAAGCCAATCCGGGTAATATTCATTTTCTTTCCACAACCATTCATTACAACATGCAGCATTTTGCCACGTGGCTGAGGCATAAAACTCGAGGGCTCTGAAGCTACTAAAGAAGAGCTTCACTCCTGGGAACCATAGAAGGCTAAGAATATCACACCAGAGGCCTAAGGAAGCTGGCCAGCTGACAGTCCATTTTGGCTACAAATCAGCAAATATGCATTTATTTAATTAAGAAGCAAAGAAATAGATTTTATTCCAGATGGCTTGGCAAGAAAGCACTCCATGAAATCCTGATTTCCAACTCTCTCAAACTTCTGTACTTACATGCATTAAAGAAAGGAAAACCATTCCTCCTTACTAATCTCATGTGGAGGGCTATTTTGTATGGAGTGAGGAAAAAGAAGTGAGGGGTAAAAAAAAAAAGAGGGAATTGAAGAACTGAGCAGAAATTTACTCAGCTAAGTGGGCATACTCAACATCACAGAAACATCCTTGCATACTCATCAGCTTGCCTTCAATCTTCCATCATATCAAAAAATAATCTTGATACAGTCTTTATCAATATTGTTACATATTTGTAATACAAGCCTCTACATTTTAATTCCAGCTTTGCTTAACTGAAACTTTATTTTCCTTTAAATAATGCAGCCTCTTTTCTGGTTAAGTTCTCCATACAAGTAGTTTAAAAATACATTCAGGCTTCCTTTGCAATTTTAATTTGAACATTTCAGAAAATTTTGATATCTGATGTATGATCATCTCAAGCACAGTGGAAAATATTTCTTGACTGAGTTTGGGAAGGTAGCATATCTTGTGGTGCCAAATTAGACTTTTTGGAAAAAAGTCAATAATGTTTTAAAAAATAAAAATGAGAAACTGTTTAGAGAACTTTTAATGCTTTTTAATCCTGCTGCCTAGTATAATAGTTTACAATTAAAAACCCAAGAGATCTGAAACTTGAGAATCCTTCAAAAATCATCTTTTCTGAGGAAAACAGGTGTAGTAGGCCAGTATCCAGTGAGAACACTCCTTCCAGAGATACAAAAACACTGCCAATAGTGATAACAGCAGGAGGAGAGGATTTTGGATATCTTCCAAACAGAGCCAAAATGGAGGTGACTGTACTCAACTGCACAGAAGCTAACTTTTGGAATTCCTCTTAAGGAGCAGTATGTTGCAATTCCTCTTAAGGAGCAGTATGTTGCAGTCTCCATAGGCTAAGGATCTGAGAGGACTTGTTAGCTCAAACACACAGACAGAATCAAATCAATTCTATGGTTATATCTAAAATAATAAATGTCTCTATAATTAACACAAAATAAGGACTAGAGTAGCTATTCAGTTAGGCTGGCTTACTAACTTGCACTCACTGGCCAATCCATGCTGGAGTCTGGCTAGCTTTGTCCACAGACATTTGCCTCCCAGTGTTGAGCCCTACAGGTTTGATTAGCTTGGGCTCTCCCAAGCATCCATGTTCCTTTTCATTCCAGAAGTACACATGTAAGCAACAACATCCATACCTTTATTATGGATGTAAAGCAGCAAGAATTTCTTTTGAAATTTCTTTTCTCAAAAGGCGCTTACCTTTGGTGACACTTCTGTGCATTTCTGGGAGAGCTGTAGTTCTTCACTGCCCTGGACCAACCAGAGTGGCCATCTGCAATCCCAGATTCTGGTGATGAAAAAACAGTAGGATGAAAAGGGTAAGAACACTGCTGAGAAGCATATAAACTACAGTATGTTGTGAAAACATTAGCCTATTAAGACACTGGTAACACTTCATTGGCAATCTTCTATGAGAAAACTTCCTTATGAAAATATTCTAATGCAAAATGTTTTGGAAAAACTTAATTTCAAATACATTTTCTACATTGAATATATTTAAGTAAAGGCTAGGTTTCTTCAAAATGTTTACAATTTGTCACCATTAGAAAAAAGTAGAAGAAACTGTTAATACCAGAACAAACGTAATACATGAGTTAAAATTTGAAGAAGGCAAAGTAAGACAGATGTCTAGGTAAGTCCACCTCAAATAAAATTTTTTACAATTAATCAGTAATGAAAATGCAACAAGGAAAGAACCATACAAACAAATGCATTTTTTCTGCCATTTTCTTATTGTATACCAGTTGACCATATTTCAGGTCACCTTCTTCAGTATTTTCCTCTACGTATTAGTTAGTTATCTTGATGATAAGATTCATAAAAATAAACTATGGAAAATAAAGATTAATGATGTTACTTGGCAGGAAAAGAGTTCAGGTTATGTTATAAGCATGCTTTAACCAATATGACATTTTAAAAGGAAGTTAAAAGATTAGCATCTAAAAACTTAAACTATTGTAGGTTTAGGTTGTTTTTTTTTAAAGAAAAGAATTCTACTGTCCTGAATTGGCAAGAGTCTTTTTATCCAAATTAATAATCCAATTCTCCATAGCAAGTGACAGTAGCCATGCAACAACTCAATTGCAAGCTTTTGTAAAACTGAAGAATCCAATCAAAAGCCTGTGGTTATTCAAGTGTAAAATTATCAAACTATGCATTTCCTGATGAGCACATAGATACAGAAAGTAAAAGCAACAGCAGATTTTATATGAATTTAAAAAATGAAGAGAGAAAACCAGAGGATAATAAGAAACATGTTAGTAGGAAAAGTCCCAGTTAACCTAGAGAAAAGCTTCTTAAATAGCTGTTGACACGTGATTCAGAAGCCCCTTTTCTATATAGATTCCTTACTTAAAGGAACATTTAAACATATCCAATTATTACTGAGGAAGACGAGCTGTCACCTAGATGGTGGTCTTTTGAGATCTGTAGTTTTAACCTTTGAAGAAAGGCTTGTAATCGCTAAAGTATTAACTCATAAAGTCTCTGAAACTAACCTTGCAGGGAAGTACCAGGAATAACAAGAAAAGTTTTATCTGAAGAAGCATGAAATCCAGAGTCCTGAAAACAAAGCATCAACAGATTACATTGATGGAAAAACTCAGAAATTATTTCACAGCTTACCTCAAAAGAAATTACTAGGAACCTGGACGTAAGGGCCTTATTCAGAATTTAAATCAACAAGTCTAATGATTCCAATGGAACCCAGTAAAGTTTAATTTTTTTTTATCTCATCTTATCTTATCTATAAAATTAATAAAAAGTCATTTCAGAAGGGCAACACTTTAATTAACAAGACCACTGTTTGAGATTATTTTAACTGGTGGCACGGTTTGTTAAAATGTAACAAAATCCTTTCTTGAGCAATTTTTAGCTGTTTACAAAGTTATTAAATATAGCAAACTTCCTCACGTGATCCAGGAGACTGCATGCAACTTATATTTCTAAAAAATAGAAATCCCCAAAACCCCAAACCTGTAAAACCATCCTACTGACCAAATAGCACCAGAAGTATACTGTCACTAGTTTAAACAGCTTCCAGCTATAGTACATTTTAAGCCCTTCTCCAAATAACAGCAAAGACTGCACAATAACTTATTACTTTTTTTACAAGGTCCTTAAGTACCTGACTCTGACAGCTGCGACCATCAAACAAGCTGGGGCTACTGCGACTGTATGTGCTCAAAGAATCCATGCCAACTGTTTGAAGATTAACATTTTTTCTATGAGAATTCTGTTGATATTTTGTTGAAGAAAAGTAAAGCTCTGGTACATTTTTCAGTCGCTTTACTGGTGAACAAAAAAGATCATTTTGAAAATTTCCTAGTCTTTTAATTCTGGGAATTGCAGACAAAGTTCGAACAGGTGAATTAACAAGAGCATTTACAGTTTCAGACATGCGTATTCCTTCATATTTCCTTAAATTTGAAACTCTCTGAAACACAGGAAGTTTTGGAACATTCTCACTACACAATTCCTCATAGATCCTGTCAAATTCTCTATCATACTGTGTAATGGACCTCACAGAATTACTTAAATGACTCTTCACTAATCTTCCTTTCTCTTCAAGGTTCTGTGAATTTGCAAGAGGTCTGGTCAATGTCAAAGGTTTTTGGATTTCTTTGGAACACAGTTTGTAGTAGAGTTTCTCAAATGCATCTTCGTATTTCTGGGGCATCTTTGAAGGACTCTGCTTTATAGACAATGAGGAAAATAAGTGTTTGCGCTGGAAAGAAATTCGACCTTCAGAAATTATTTTTTCAGGATTTATGAGCAAAGGATTTGATGCTCTTGCAAGAGAACTGTGGGTGACAGGTGTCAAAGCATTACTATTGCCATAGGAACTGCAAGTAGAGGAACACAACTCTGAGGTATCACCACAAGAAAAGTCAATTTTTTGAGTTCTGTTCTCTTTTACCAGATGAAGCGCTGTTGACCCTGAACTGGCAGCCGATGTCATAAAAGGATATTCCCAGGAACATTTGTAAGATAATTTTTCACTTTCTTTGCATTTTGAATTCTTCAGTGAGACAGTAGTCTGTAACTCATCTTCAACTAGAAATGTATCTCCCATTCTAGCCATAACATTAGGAACAGTCTGTTTGGAGACTTTCTGGCCTTCTCCAGATACCAAATGATGTTCTGAACTTGAGTCAGAGTAGTCCATTTTGATTTCATTTGTATCAGTATAAGAATAAGGTACTAGACTAGATAAATTGTTAATGGAACACATGTCATCACAAAGTTCTCTATTCTCATTTCTGAAAGTTTGATTCTGGATGTCTTCACTTCTACTGCTGCATATGCTAGGTAGTGCATTCCTCAGTTTAAGAGGTCTGAACCCTCTTATTTTGTTTACAGTGACATTGAGCTTTGCTCTTCTAAGACGCCGTCTTTTGTGCCTTAATTGCCCAAATATGTATTTTAACTCTTGCCTCCAAGATTGCTTTGTCATGAGCCTTCTAAGTGTCTCTACCATGGCTGGATACAAGTCTGCAAGAGTTACATTGTTCCAGGAGCATGCCTCATCTGCAGACTGGTATTCTTCCAAGACACTGTCATAGCAACTTTTATTCAGTTCTGGAGAAGGTCGATGCCTGGGTATAGTTATTGTATTTGGTGAAATGGGAACACCAGAAAATTCTAACTGTAGAGATCTGGATGAAGAACATTTATTTGACAACTCCACATTCTCTCTGCAAACAGCAGCTTGGTTGCCTATTCAAAAAAAAAACCAAAACCTCAAATGAATCACAAAACAAAACTAGAAAAAGAAAAAAAACCCAACACAATCCAAACCCATTAGGGCACTTCCAGTATTGTATTACATGACTTAGAAACAATTGCATTTGGCACAGGTAGTCTTACTGCAATAGATTCTTTCATTAAGCTTTTTTGACAGCCTAAATGGATGATTAACATAATCCACTAGGAAAAAATCAAAAGTTTTTTCCTAACTATGTTGAATTAACAGATTATAGAGGACAAATGAAATGTGTCGAAAAAAATAATTTTAAAATAGCTTAATATATAGATATAAAATATTTTCATTGTAGAGGCAGACTGTTTTGCTCTTTGTTTTGATTTCTGACCAGGAGGAACAGCCTTATCCTGCAGTTTTTGTTAACTGTATTTCGGGATTACTTAAAAGCTTTGTACTTGGCTAGTGTCAGTGCAGCTTTTTTTCCCCAAAAGCACACTGAAGAAAATGGTTTCTGTAATTGTTAGGCTTGAAATATTTACATCAAAATTCTGTCTTAGGTTTGCATGAAGTCTGGAGAGCTTCTCCAGAAGAAGAAAAAAAGTTTACTAGCAAAGTGTCAGTTACCAGAAGATGCAAAGCCATTCAATACATTCCTTGAATTTAAAATAAGCAGATTCAAAAAAATTATGCTTTCATTTAATTAAACTTAATGCTGCTGAATTTTATAAATATGCATTTTTTTTTTCCTGAGGCTATTTAAAAAAAGCTGTTTTTACATATACAAGTTACTTAATTTCTATTTTTCAAATACATTTTGCCATAAGCAAAACCATGTCTAACTTTTCTTCAAGAATCCAGCCTGTTGAACTTTTCAGTTGGATAAATAGTGCCCTGGTGTTTTCAATAAATTAATTATTTCTAATAAATTTTAATAAAAACACATTTTGTAACTAACATATTTGACCAACACGCAAAAGATTCAGTTGTACCAATGAGTTCTTGCACTGGTGAAGCTAAATGAAGACTTTCCGACACCCCTTGAGGTGCTACCTGAAAAATAAACAGAAAAAGAGAGACACAATCTGATATCCTGAATTTTTTGCATGTTATAGGTAACATCAAAACCTTATTTGTGACGAGTCCTGCTCTCCTTAATATACTAGGTCATTATTCTACTAGGTCCTGTACAGAGTTACGGTTATAAGGGGCTTCATAAATTTTATACTAGGAGGAAAAAATCTAGTTTAAGACTTAAGTAACAATTTTTAAGAGTTACCAGTTAAATCTTAGAAAGTTAATTATCATCTTTGTAACTTCTACATTATGTATTTTAATCCCTTTCCCAAATATGGGAATTTATACCTAGATAATGTATACATCTCCAGCAACTCCAGAAGTTGTACCATAATTTTTTGCCCCTAATCCCTCTTACCCCCAAAACCAAAATATAGCTAAAACTCCTTTTTTCTCTACGTACCTCAAATTTAAGCTTTTCAGAAAACTTACTGAAGTGAAGATAAACTTGCACGAGGGTTCAAAGAACAAAGTATATAAAAAAAAAATAAATTATCTGCTCTTTCTTTTACAAATTGTTGCTGTCAGAGACCTAAGATATTTACAGAAACAGCAGGCAGGAGAGGAACAATGATGGAACAGCAGAGAAGTTGTATTAGAATTCATTGTGCTGCAGAGTTCTTATTTTATTCTAATTAGCTAATAACGTAAACCAGGAGAAATATGTTACCGCAATCCATTTGGGAATTTGTCTAGCATAATCTTGTACTATCACATCCACTGGAATGTTTACATTCTCTTGACTATTCACATCACCTACACACAGATTCTTAGAGGGGAAAAAAAAAAAAGAATTAATTAAAACACATAGAATTTTCTGACATTGACAAACCCAAACACATTACTCGGATTAGTTTCAAACTAGTATTATTCAGATCAGGATACTGAGCCAGCATAAACTTATTTTGAATATATACGTTTTATGTCAAGAAGAATAAAGACCCTGAGAAGGAACTGTATGTGAAGACATATAAAAAGAGAAAACTAGCTAGTCTATTGATGGAGGGAAAAGCATGCACACTGCCTTAGAAGGCTTACTGATAAAAACAAACACACACACAAAAACACCAAAAAAGAAAAACCTAACCTAATGTTAGGTTGCAAAGCACTAGTAATTACGGCTGCAAATTTTTATATGTATTATTAACATCCATGAATTCATACGCAAATTAAGGTCTACTCTGTAATGCACCTCTATGCAAAATCTAAAAGCATTTGGTGATAAATGGCAAACATTTTTCATCAATGAAACTCTCTGAAGCAGTTTGTATTAGCTGTTGTCAGAGACGTGACAATGCCTAGCACTATGTTAAACAAGTAAAGAGAGTACATTCAAATTTTGGTATTTGTATTTGAGCAAGCAGAACACAAGATTAGAATGTGCATGTGAATGATTAGAAAGTACAACATGTGCATGTTGTACTTTTCTTCATCAATGTAACTCCTGATACTTAGTCCAGTTTGGGAAAAAACAGTAGAAAATTCCAGTCTGTGTTCGTTATGATAGCCACTATTTCAGATTTACTTTTTTTTTTAAATCATGTTATCTGTTTATGCTAGACTCTCAGGTGAGCCATCATATTTTTATACGAGGTTTCACTTTTGTGATTCATCTGGTTATTCTTTTTCCATACTTGTAATAGCCTTTCTCATGGTTGGCTGTTCTATGCAACACATTGTATGGCTTTCTCCGGTATACTAACAATACCAAGACATAATACTATTTCATATTGGACTTCATGACATTATTTATTGAACATCTCATTTTAAAACGCAGACTAGAGTCTTCTGTTGGCAGTGCATCAACTCATGAGACACACATAAGCTATTCAAATAGCTCAATTGTTTCTACTGAACGCAACATTATTCCATTATATTAGGTATCAGAAGTTTTTACCTGGAAATGAATGTCTTCAAATTTTCTTCTTACTGAAGCTATATCAGCATCACTTTCTTCATCTACAATTTGAAGACAAATACTAAATAAAATCTAGTTGGACTCAAAACCAAAATGGAAATATTTTTAAACACACACTGTATAACTTACAGACTAAACTAGTTTCAATTTAGAAAACAGTTTTCTACACTAAAACTCTTTATCTGTATTGCCTTTCAATTTCAAGTCCAATTGAAAAGCATGGTTTATAGGTTCATAAGTGACTTGAGGGGAACAAAGCACAGTGAAGACAATTTGTAACCAGTTCTTCAAGTTTTATGTTAACCATTTCAGAGAGTAAAATATTTTCAAAAGTATTGCCCTGCAAGATTCACTAGTCATTATGTATCATTCCCACTTATTTCCCACTACCTTCCTAAATATCCCAAATCTTCCAACTCAATTTCTAGATATTCTATGAGTATTTTTGTGAATGGAATGCAAAAAACCATTTTTTTGCTAGATGTAGCCAGATCTTCAAATTCATCATTAGCTAAAGCCTTAGTCTTTCATGATCATAAAAGATGTGATTGAATTGTAAGCCCTGATTTCTAAATTTCCCTGACTGTTATATCTTTGTCCCACAATTGTGTTCACCACAATGAGGGAAAGAGGAGAATAACCCTTAAAAGGAAACCGACGGGTGAAAAAACATCTTGGTTATGATACCTACCACATCACTGGCTCTTCATGCTATTCTTAAATTACTAAAAACAGAATGAAAAACTTTTCCAGCTAATCCCATCTTCCTTTTTTGTTCCCTATCAGCGCAATCATCACCTAAACCTCTGTGGACAGCTGCGTTATAGAGCTAGGATAAAGACACATATGAAAGAAACACTATCTTTGTGGGAGATAATACAATTTCGCATCTTCTCAGGAAAATGTTCAGTAAGAAGAGGGTTGGCTTTGACGGCCTACCTGACCCCAGTAGGATTATTTTATTACAACTGAAACCCATGCCTATCAGATTATCAAAGTTTCTTCCAATGTGACTAATGGAAGATGAAGTTGTGGTCACTTTATCCACAGGAAATCAGTTACTAAGCATCCATAGTGGAGGAAGCAGTAAGAATGTTAATATTTTCATCTAGAAGTTTCAGCCTCCAGTTTCTCTTGTAACAGCTGATACTCTCTTTCTACCACGCACTCTTATTTCCTCCAGTAGAATTGGGCACAAAACTGGCAAACTGCTCCCTAAATGGTCATTGAGATGACCAGACTAGACTGCTACAACTTGAAATAAAGGTAACAACTCCAGTGTTTGGGAATGGTCAACTCCACTGCACTAATTACAAATAATCAGAAAATAGCCTGTATCATAGAATGAAGTGATCTGTATAAAAGTTGAATACTCTTCTAGGTGTCAAACCTCATAAAAGCGTAACTTTAGTAGGTCTTCAATGTATTGTCAATCATACCTCAAATTACTGGAATATTAGCTGTTAGCAGATGACCATGGAAAAAGTGAAGTATCTTCTCCAGGGAACCTTAATGTGTTTTTAAGGGCCAAAAGGGAAACTCAGGAACACCTTTGTTCCACAAGTGAAGAGAGAAAAAATGAAAACTTGCACCTTTCCCTCTGGAAAATTTGACCTATAATACAGAAAGTTATTTCACTGGAGATGTACTCAATACACTATCATTACCTAAAAGATTATATTCTGTTTAAAAGATGAACATGTTAGTAAGGGGGTTACTGTGAATTTTAAGTTTTGACTTTGATGTCTTATAAAATTAAATACTCTTAAATAAATATACAATTCAGATTGAACTTTCCCCTTTCTCTCCAAGTAAATTAATTTTTCTGTGAGAGTAATAGACACAGGAAATTTTTCAGATATCACTGCACTTTGCCATGCTACTTCTTGTGAAACTAAAGGAGGTAGACCTAACAATTTTCCCTACTAGGAGCAGACCAATACACGTGAGAGCTGTTTCACTTTATTTGTACTTGCTGTTGACAGTCTTTGCATAGTTTTAGAATAAAAATACCATATAATACCTGTAAGAAACACTGGCTTCACTGAGAAGTGTGAAGCATTCTGTATGAATACTAAAAATTGAAAAAAACTGCCAAAGCTAATGTTTTAGCTAGAGCAGCTAAAGATATGCTTTTTCTTAACACTTCGCACGCCCTAATGCTAACCTTTTAGATATTTAAAAAAAACAAAAACCCAACCCTCCAAAAAAAAAACCCCACAACACCTAAGTGAATTCCATTTTTAAGTGAGGAATCCGACCCCAGATCTCTAATAAACTAGTTTCTATGTCTTACTGTATTTGGAGATAACTGGCACTGAACAAGTCTGCTATAAATCCTCTCCAGTCTCTTCCTAGAACATTCACAAGAGAAGGAAGAGGAGTGTATAATCAATATTATTGTATGCTGCTATGAAGACACTAGTCTAAACTGCATTACTCATTCATCCCCATGAGTGCAAAAGACACAAAGAACACTTACAGAAACTAAGCTACAGATTCTTCTGAAATTTGCTTCCCGTATTTCATCGCGCAGGTTCAGAAAAAACAAACCCACATTTTTTAAATTTGCAGAATTTATTTTATCATTCAAATAGATGTTTGAAATTATCCTCTCAAATGACAGGAGGGCAAGTTTCAGATCGCTCTTTTCTGTTTTCCCTTAACAGAGAAGTAATCACCTGCCTTGGAGATAACTATGTGTACGAAGCACCTAATTTGTATCAGAGTATTTAAACAATAGCTAAACATATTTTCCTGCAACTGCTCTTTTAATTGTTAAATGTTGGTTACCTCCTAGCCATAGTTTAATTTATGAAAAATAGTAAGTTTTTATATGCACAAGAATCAAAAGATCTTGAGTAATACAAGTTTTAAATATTTTAAAAACATTCATTCAGATATTGTTATCGCTAACTAATACAATCAAATAATTATTTGGGAAAATAAGGTAAAATATCACACAAAATATTGCAGACAGGCCACAAGACTGATGCTGAAACTGCTACAAACACTACTGAAGATGTATTGTTGCAGCTGAATGCCTTATCCATATTTACCAGATCACTACAAATTAATGTATATATTCTAATTATTAATAAAACTTCTATGGCCACTTATGCCAAAGTTTTAATTTTGCTGTTCCTTTCTTTATTAAGAAAAGACAATTGAACATATTCCACGTTGTCTTTCCAACCTATCAAGTGTTCAGAACTGAGATTTTAAAGAGGAATGTGGATATTGATTTCACTGAGTACTACCAGTACCTCAGTCTCTTGTTATTCCTATTCTCTACTTTCTGAAAGGGTACAGAACATGTATTGAATTTATTACTACTATGTCAGAAAACTATGAAAAAGTTATTTGCAATCTTTTTCAAAAAGTTTATGCTAATGGTAGCTAAAAAGTAAATGTAAAAACCCACCTATGTCAGATGTATCCACATGAGATTTCTCAGGAGGTACCTTTAAAAGCACATGAAAGAAATTTTAAGACCTAGTAGCATAAGTTATATTAGTCTGGAGTTTTCTGCTCTCGCTACTTGCTCAATTTTTTGGGAAAGGGGTGGTGGTGGTAGTGAAACACACACAGTCACATTCCACAGATTATGTCCAAATGACACCATCTTTAATAATAAATCTGTACACTAATTTGTCTTGATTCACATTTGATTACTCAATGGGGAAAACTATTTTCTTCCCAGCCCTTCTATATGCAGCCAAATAATTCAAGGAAAAGCAGTTATACAACAAGAGCAAAAAAACATTTGACTGATGAATTCAAATCACTCAATATTTATCAGTATGTCCTGGGGATCTTCTCTGTGCTCCAATGTATAAGGAAAGTTTCTTAACTGCCCACTTTAAACAATTCTAATTGCCTACTTCAAACAATCTATATATAATATTTAAAATTGTTTTTTGCTTTATTTTCTAGAAGTCTTGATAGTTGCATAAAGAGCTCATTTATATAAAGAGCCTTTTCTAAATGTTTACAATCTACATCTAACATCACTTTCTTCAGAACGCCTTTTAAAAAAAGTCTATTTTGTCCTGTTCAATCACAAAATCATTATATTGTGCACTAAAATGACACCAATAAACTGAGACAATCCTAGTTACCATTAGGAGTGACCAGTGAGATGGCTGATATCACTCTTTAAATGCTGAATATTTTCTCCTTAAGAAGATAAGGAGTCAAAAGTTAGTTATTCCATATGACCACAGATCTTGCACATCATAATTAAAAAAGTTAGATGCACATATTGCTTAACTGAAAAGACACATGATGGCTTAAAGCCTATGTCCAACTGCTCTATCTCCCTTAAACTTAAAAGAAGAGCAAAACTCAGATGAAATCCATGGCTGTTATTCGATACCCCAAATATCATAGTGTGAAGATATATAATTATATGAAACATATATGAAGTCTACCACATAAACAATATGAATAGGGACATAGTAAAAATAAAAATAATTAAAAAATGCATGGATCTGCCATCACAAAATGTATCAGACCACCACATATAGAAATCCAGAACTTGAATTCATCACCACCTCAAAGCACACAGTCTATCAGGGAGGTAACAGGGAAAGTATACTAGATGATCAACATTAATCATAATATGACAATTTTAATTTTACACAAACAAGTACCTGGTAAATAAATACACATCTTCCATAAAATAATGCAATTACATTTGAGGAAGTACATGAGGGGAAATATAAAGAAATTGTTTAATAAGATACCTGAAGTTTGAAGAACTGCAGCAAAATACTTTAAGCCCTCAATTTTTTCAGAAGTACTTATTTAAGGAGAATAAAACGATTCAATTCAGCAATTAGTAGGTCTTTAAAATCTTATTTTATAGCTATGGTACAGGACCACCTGCTCATGATTAATTTCTTAGCTTTTGACTACATAAATACATTTTCCAAAGAGGCTTTGTAAAAGTAGATGCAGCATGCTGTCCATACCTGAGGCATTGTTGAATGTTCATCTTCAAAATCACTAGTCTGTTGCTTTGACATATCTTAGCATGCCCAGGAGGAAAAAAAAAAAAAAATTCAATTTGATAGATCACAGATCAATATTGTACCTGAACTCATGAATTCTTCATTTGTAAATGCTCTTATTTGTTTTGAAAAATACTTAACACAAACATTTAACAAATGGAGAACATACATAGGACTGAAACAAAGAACAGACAAGCGACAGAACAACATCCTAGTCAAATATAGGAGACTAATTCTGATCAGAGATGCACATCTACCATATTACATGTTTTCTTCTTAACCCACAAAGCACCACAGAATGTATAATTTATCACAAGATATTCACTTGTGGAAAAAGAAGACAAAAGCAAGATTCTTGTGCATTTTTCTTTGCATATATTGAAAAGAATAAGAAAAAAGTATACTAAGTCCTGAAGCCTGAGGGTAGTGCCTCAAACCTCTATTGCATCTTTTTAACGATTTTTGGTAAGGGAGACTTCCAAAACTGCTGTACCTATCTTCCTGCACAGATAGACCCACCTACAGTCTCTGCGCTTCTAAGCAGATACTGTTGCTATTAAAATTACTCAGACCGAAAACTGTTTTGATATTGCTGAAAAAAAGTTACATTTCTAACCATTGCCTTTGAGATTTTTATTAAAAAAGGTATCTATAACAAGCTACAACTTCTCAAGTTGGTATACAGTGTATGTGATTATGATTTGCTTATAAAAATTGTCACCTAAACCTAGAGTTAATACTGCATAAATCACAGAAATTCAATCTTTCCCAAAAGAGCAAATCTATATTTCTAAACATACAACTCTGCTGATACTAAAGCTGTAGTGCAACATCTCATGATCGGATGCATGTGATAGACTTAGACTTAAATTATAAAAGCAATACATGTGCTTTAGCAGATATATTTACCCTACTCAAGACTCTCACCAAAAAAAGTTTCTGTTTAATGAAGAAATTGTTGTCCTTGCTTTTTTCTACATTTCTGTTTCCAGATAAATTTATGTCAAATATCACAAATGATTTACTTTTTTTTGGTTAAATGTTGAGATAACTTCTCATACATAACTCAGGAACATATGTATTATTTATTCCTATAAACACTTCATATGCTTGGCACTATTAAATAATGCATCTAAAGATTTCCAGTTTTCTAAAGTCTTAAAGTATGTGGAAAGTAATCTAAAGATGTCATCTATTTTTTCTTCCATTTTAAAGCAGGAACAAGTATGCCTAACTCACCTCTAGGAGAAGTCTAACCCATTCTTAAAAGCAACTCCATAATCTCCAAGAAAGATATTTCAGGACTTAGAAATTAGAAAGCTTTTCTAATATTTATTTATCTAGATAGAGTCCTTGAGAAACATAAACATCACCTGGCAACAACTAAAAATCAATATGCATTATTGACATTCCTTTTATACTAAATCTGAAACACAGCAACCATTAGAAAAAAAACAGATTAATTCCATCCCAGCTGAAATCAGCATACCAACTCTTTTGTTTTCCTCAACTCCCCCTCCCCATTTAAGTCCTATCACTAGGGGGGTCTAGTAATTTTTGCGTTTTATGACTCTCTCCAGCTAGTCAAGTTACTACTGAATACAAAATAAAGAACTCCACCACAAGTTTTATCACTGTTGAACAGTGCAGAAAACCTCGGTTTTGTGCTTTGCATACTAGGCACCTGTGGATATCTTCTAGCAGAGCATGTGCTATTTTCACAACAGAGTGATATTCTTGGGTGGCTCAACTAGTCCTCAAAATTGCCTCTTCCTGCAATTGGTTATTCCTACTTAAGTCTATTACTTTGAACTTCTCTGAAATTACACAAAGTTTAATTTTAGCCCCAATTTGACACACCACATTTCACAGCAGTCATCCCTACTTGGTATCACCTGTGAGTTAGTGAAGGGTATCCCCTCTTTTACTATTTAGTTAATGAAAATATAAACTAGTAATTTGCTCAGGACAAGTGCTGGAAAAATATGCCTCATGTTTCCCTTCAGGTTGCACACAGACCATTGCTAACTATTCTAGGCACTGCTCTCCAACCAGTAGGAAACCAGGCTACAAACCTACTCTCTCATATAAAGCTAATGAAGCATCCTATATGGCCAGAAGGCTCTGGCTTGTAACCTTCTCAGGAAATTTATATTCACTCTTTTGCAAAAAAATGCAGTAATGCTTCCTTTAGAAAATATTAGCAATGGTTTTTGTTTGTTTGTTTCTTTGCTTTGTTGTTTTTTTTTTTTTTCCTTCTCTTTCAGAAGCTGAATAAAGCATTTTCCAAACATTTCTGGGCTAGGAACACAGGAAATCAGAATAACATGGTAATATCCTATTGAAGTCACTTACTGATCAAGACCTATGAAACACTACAGAGGGTGTTTTGTTTCAAAAACAATTTTAAAGGAAAGAAACAATTTTAAGTGGCTAATATATGACAGAAATATTGTTCTTCATGGAGATTGAAATTTAACATACTTGGTCCCCCCATACTCAGAACTGCCATATATTTAAAAAAAACAACCACACGCCCACACAACAAAACCCCAAAAATCAATACTCAAAAAATTGTAATTTTACCCAGGAAAACTTCATAGGGGTACTGGACATTTTATCCAAATAGTAAAAAAAGATTCTAGCAAAGTCCAGAATTCTAAGTTGGAAAAAAATAACATAAGTTATATTCCAAGGGAAGGAGTTAGTTAATAAGTATTTGGGTCTTATACAGATATTTTAAATGTTTGCAATTCATAGCACAGAAATTTATATATCCTAGTTGAAAACACATATCAGGCCTACATAAAAGTATAAAACAAGAATAAGTAAAACTTGCACATTAGGTTTAATACTCCATAGCCAAAAGCAGCTAGACTTTTTTTTTGTTGTTGTTCTTGGTTTTTGGTGGGGTTCTTTTGGTGTGTGTTTTGAGGTATTTTTAAGGGTAAAACCAACCACGACCAGCCAGTTCAAATGCTTACTCCATGTACTTTTGTATTCCAAATAAAAGAAGTCAGTGCAAGATACAATTTGCTTAAATTGAACAAAATCCATGAGGTTCTATCTTTTATAGCGTATAAATACACATGAATCTGTGAAAAGCAGGTTTTTCCTTATAACAAAAGCTGTCAACACTAGTGCTCTTCCCACACCTTCAATATTTGGTTAAGTATTTATTCCCTAGAATAACTTAAAACATAATTAAATAATAAAGACTTTGCTCAAGTTACATTAAAATTTGGAAAATGTATTGTATCACTTCTGCTTTTCTACCTTATCTGTAATGCAGTACGCTAAGTTTGAATTTAATTAGATCAAGCCTCCATAGCATTAAAGAAACCCCCGAGTAAATTTCTTCAGTAAAAACTACTAAGGCTTTTAGACCTTAGGTCAAAACACAGCTTAACAAAACATTACTTCTAAAAAACTTCAAATACTATGTCTTTAAAAAAAATCAAACACCTAACTGATAGGTGCTTGCATTCTGAGTTTTACTGCAGATTGTAGCCAGTCATTTTTTGTACTATTCAGACCCATAGTCATATGTTTTCTAAAAATTAGAGGCAAAGGTCTGGACCACGTGAATCTTTTTGTATCACACTCTTATTCCCTGGCTCAACATTTTAATATCATAGGCTGATTCAAAGTCTATACCTGAACCCTACAGGGACAAATGTTTTTGTAGGATTGTAAAAGGTGAGAGACACAGGTTGTGTTTTGTCCTCAGAAGTTCAGCAGAAAAGTTTCTTGGATGAATGTCATAAAATAAGCAACACCAAAAAAACCCACCTCAAAACCTTCCGAAAATAATGCCCAACATACCTGTGCTGTACCATACATCATAATTTCCCCCCATCATTTATTCCAGTAAAAAAATGTATTTTATTGGAACATACATCTCCTTTTCAGAACAATGAGAAAAACTTCATATGTCATACATCTCCTTAAGTAGTATAAGAACTACACTTCAATGTGCGGTCTTGATTTGACGTCCGTCATGATACTTGATCTCTAATGAAATAATTATACACTACTTTTTCCTGCAGGCAGTTGATTCATTCCGTATACAAAATAATCTGCTAAACTTTTGATAACTCATCATGTGACTTCATGAGATTCTCTTAACACAGATTTTTTAATATGCCTACTTTTCGAGTTATTTTTAAAAAGCTAGCAACTTCCCAATATCTCTACTTGCACAGCCATGTAAGTCAGGGTTGGAATTTTTAGATTCAATGAATATCTGACAAAACTGACAAATACAACAAAAAGCATACTGATAGGGGAGATTATTTTAATTAACTTGTAATGATACCAAACCCAATTATAATGTATTTACTGATCTTAAACATTTTGAACTACATTCCACAATCCTTATGAGCATAAGTACCGTTAGTTTTTTAAGTGGTTCCCCTCACAAAAAACCAGCAAGTATCCTAACAAGTTTGGCATAAAACCAGGATGTCTTCTATTAAGTCAAGACTCTTTTGATAAGATAATTTATAGAACTTTTTTTTTAAAAAAATTTTACCTGCATTCCTTTGACTTCCTCTATTATGCTGCAATTAGAAAAAGGAAAAAAAGCTGCATCAGAAGAATCTTAGTATTGTAAAGGTATTTTAACCAGTGCTTTTGTTTACTTTGGTATATTTCACAACTAGACACTTCTTAAATAACCTTCAAGTTTCCTACGGCCTGATCAGAAAAGCCACAAATACATGGTAAAACTTACCTGATCATTCACTTCTTGCCATACTGTTGCTGTTAAAATTACTACAAACATAAGCTACAGCTACCTTAGCCCATATGAGAGGCCAAGACAGAGAACTGCTCTTACGGTCCTTAATGGATTTAGTCTGTAAAATTCTGCAGCAATGCTTAGTGGATGACAGAAGATGTTACCAGAAGCAGAAAAGGAAAGGGAAGGGAAATACAGCCCCTCTTCTATCTTCTTTAAATCCACCCTTGTTCCCCTCACTCTGTGGGGTTCAGAACAGCTTCTGTGTTAAATACCAAGGTACATTACCACAACTTCACTTTTTAAACAGATATTAGGAATGCAGCAGCAAGGTGACTTTCGGCAGTTACCTGAAAAACACTGGGATTTTGATGAAATTCACTATTGAGTCCTTTTGGGGAATTTTAGGAAACAGAAAAATAGGCAACTGCTTGTTTAATGTAAATATTCAGAATAAAAAATTTAGCTCATATGCCCACAACAGTAACAGCTTTAGCCTGACGCAGACAGTGAGTACTGAGACCACAAAGATACTTTAATGACTCTAGCATTATTTTACAGAGAAAAAAAAATATCTAAAGACTAATCCAGTAAGCCCTTCAGAATTGAAAAGCTTGTTACCTGAGCCAAGATAAATTGATTCAATGCACATTAACTTCAATGACAATATTCTGATGAGATCCAGAAGTCCACATCCCCATCAGACAGCATTGTTTAAAAAAAAAAAAAAAAAGAAAAGATATTTTTCCTGGGTTTACCAGCGGTGCTAACCACTGGTAAATGGTCATCTATTTTATTTCATCTCATCTGAGAGTCTTAACCAATCTATCCTAAAACTCTATTTTAAAGCAGATGTTGACTTAATTGATTAATACCTTTTGCAAATATATGGCACAGCAAGATTAGAATATGTTTCTATATGTAGAATCATAGAATAATTTGGGTTGGAAGTGACTTAAAGGTCATCTAGTCCAACCATTCTGCAATGAACAGGGACATCTTCAACTAGATTAGGTTGCTCAGAGGTCCATCCAACCTGACCTTGGATGTCTCCAGGGTCACTGATCTCCATCTAGACACTGAGCCATTGACCGCTATTCTGTGGATGCAACCATCCAACCAACTACTCATCCACCAAACAGTTCAACCATCAAATCGATATCCCTCCAATTCACAGAGAAGGATGTAGGGGACTGTGTCAAAGGCCTAACAGAAGTCCTGGTAGACAACATTCGTAGTTCTTCCCTTGTCCACTGATGTAGTCACTCCTTCAGAAAAGGTCCCTATTCGGCCAGGCAGGACTTGCCCTTGGTGAAGCCATGCTGGCTGTCTCAAATCACCTCCCTGTCCTCCATGTGCCTAGCATAGCTTCTAGGAGGATCTGTTCTGTCATCTTCCCAGGCACAGAGGTGAGGCTGACAAGTTGGTAGTTCCCAGGGTCCTCCTTTCTACATTCTTTGAAAAATGGGTTCAATGTTTCCCTTTTTCCAGTCACTGGGGACTTCACCTGACTGCCATGACTTTTCAATATCATGGAGAGTGGCTTGGCAACTACATCAGCCAATTCCCTCAGGATTCTGGTATACATCTCATCAGGTCCCATAGATTTATGTATATTCGTGTTCCTTAGGTAGCCACAAACCTGATCTTCTCTTACATTGGGAGGGACTTTGCTCCCCCAGTCCCTGCCTTGCAGTTGCATCTGCTTGAGGAGTGTGGGAAGATAGTTTGCCAGTGAAGACTGAGGCAAAAAAGTTGATGAGAACCTCAGCCTTCTCCTCATCTGTTGTTACCAGTTTGACGGTATTACCCATTGCAGGTGTATGCTTTCTTTGATCTTCCTTTTTTGGCTGACATATCTGCAGAAGCCCTTTTTGTTATTCTTTGCATCCCTCGCCAAGTTCAATTACAGCTGTGCCTTGGCCTTCCTGATCCCATTCCTACACAACTGGGCAGCCTCCGTGTAGTCTTCACAGGACACCTGTCCCTGCTTCCACTGCCTGTGCCTCTCTTTCTTGCACTTTAGTTTGACCAGCAGGTCTTGACTTAGCCATGCTGGTTTCTTGCCCTCCTTTCCTGATTTCTCACACCTGGGGATCAAGAGCTCTTATGCTCTATGGAAAGTGTCCTTAAAGCTTTGCCAGCTCTGTTCTGCTGCCTTGTCCCTGAGGGCAGTGTCCCACGGGGTCCTAATGACTAACTCCCTGAAGAGCTGGAATTTTGCTCTCCTAAAATTCAGGGTCCTGGCTTTACTCTTTGCCTGACCCATATCCCTCAGGACTAGAAACTCCACCAGTCCTTTTTTTTTTTTTATTATATATGAAAAAAACCAACCAAAACACACGCTATATTTTGACTGCATTACAGAATCACAGAATATTCATGGTTGGAACAGACCTTTGAGATCATCGAGTCCAACCACAAAAAAAATCCCAAACAAAACAAAACCAAACCAAACAAACAAAACAAAAACCTACCACACCCACCCACAAACAGACACAAATCAACAATCCCAGGCACTAGAGCATGCCCTGAAGTGCCATGTCTACTCATTTCTTAAATACCTCCAGGGATGGTGACTCCACAACCTCCCTGATTGTGGGACTATATTATTAGATACCTCAAATACTTCCTCCTTCCATTTCCTAAGCTTCCTGGTTGACACTTTTGTCCATTTTTTCGGTCCTAGAAATAAGAAGAGATATCGATATAAACATAGCTTTTCTTACAACACCATCTATACCAAGTATCGTTCTAACAAACACATACGTCTAGGAAGAACATATTACGTAATAACAAAACATTATCAAACCCAAACAGTCTCCAACACAACTGCTGAAACAAACACTTAGAGGAAAACAAACCAAGATAATTTCATAATTACAAGTTAATTGAGAAGTCAAGCAAAAAAAATAATTCATACGCTGAATCTAACAACATGGAGCTAAAATCCAAAGAGCATTACAGCCTCAGATGCTATGAAGAGGTGAAAAGAAAGCAATTATTTTACTTTTTAATACTTAATTATACTAAATAATACATTAAATACTTATTGTATTTAATGCACGTGGACTACATGGTATCTGAGGTTACTTAAAGGCATAATTAAGGCAATATAGGACTGAGATCGATATTATTTCCCAATCGAATAGAGGTTACTAAACCAAAACCAAGCCTTTAAAAATTCAAAGACTGTATTACAGTGCTGTAGGCATGTTTCCTTCCTCCCCCTCTCTCAAAGGACAATATATATTAAATGCTATAAAATGCAAACTTCCCAGTCTGTAAAAGCCTTTAAAAAGTAAATCGTATTTGGTGCAACAATTACATTGAGCTTGACACTGTGGTTGCATTTCATGTGTATCTCCAGTAAGCTCTTCATTATGAAAACTGATATGGTCATTTACATATCATAATCCTCACTTCAGTGATGATAAAAACTATCAGAACATGTAATTTCCCAGTAAAGTCACAAGGTACTAAGTCACAAGTCCCCCTGAGCAATGTATTTTAAAACAACAGGGTTTTTTCCACAATAAGCTTTTCATAAGCATTATCAACTCTATAACGGATTAACAGTCATAATGAAACACTGGAAAAATATGACAGGGTATAATAATTTATGCTAGCCACATGAACATTCAGTGAAAAGCTAAAGAGACTATCTACCCAGTCCACCCTGACATTTGACATAACAGAAATTTATCAGAGCAGCCTTCAGAGTACTAAGCAGAGATGAAGTTATAACATCTATTCATGCATATCAACTTCCTGCTAATACCTCCATTCCTTTGTTTCCCCTGTCTTCTCCATTTCGATTCTTCTTTTTACAAGACACACCCAAATATTAACCATTGTTATCCTGAATTTCACTAGTAATGCTTTTCTGTTGTTTAAAACAGAGCACACAATGGACTAATATGGTGCATATAAATAAACAATACCAATGGACTAATATGGTGCATATAAATAAACTCTTCAGGTATTATATGCATGTATTGAAGTTTACATACGAAATGACATACATACGTGGACAAAAATTCAATATCTGTTGCAATGAAATGTTATATAACTGTCAATAGTTATATGCTTCACTAAGTCTAAGTATACTGTATGTAAATATTGAAACTTTAATAAGTTCTTACCATCAGGCGTATCATAAGTGAGAGTTTCCATGGAAATGAGTAAATCATCTTCAAAAGGATGATTATACTAAAAAAAAAAGGACAATTAAAGATTAGAAAAAATGATTAAAACAATGTTTTTAACAGGCATTTTAACTATTGTTTTTATACAGCTTTGTTTTGACCAAACCACGAAATTGTCAGTATGGTGTTTTATTGGCTGAAGTTAAAAGTCAGCACTGTGGAAATACCAATTCCTAGAGGAAACATATTTTAAGCATGTATGTGAGTCAGTTTCATGAAATAAGTCGATCACTGACAAAATGGGGCTTCAGAGTTCTCATACGTGATTAAGTACTCTATTACAGTTTCTTGAAGTAGCCACTTGGCATAGACCTACAGTTGACAATATAAAAAAATATCCCATCTAATGCTAGATGAGAAAACTGCTCTAGAAACAGACCTGCCCTTACGACAGTCCCTAGACATTCCTGAGCAAACACATGCATCTCTGGATGGAAGTATATGGTTTCCACATCTTTAACAAACAAAGGAGGTCTCGTGGAGGGAGAGTCACACTACTTTCTGTAGTTTCATTGAAAAATCTCATCTAATGCTAGCTAATTTGGGTTAAGGGCACAACTTGGACTTATATTTAAGTCACTTATGTAATACTGGCAATCCCGGATCTAGGTTTTATGGAGGTATTTGATATTTACTAGCTTATGCCAAGGCACAGGAGCACATGGCTCAGCACAAACTGCAAAGCTCCACAAGGCCCCGGGTGACAGCTGCTTTTAGTAGCCGGGAAACACAGGAGTTTGTGACACCACGTACAATTAAAGGAGGAAGAGAACTCAACGTCAGCAACTGCAAATTAGCGCACAGCGAGGAAACTGAACCCGTCAGTATCGACACACCAGGACTTAACAGGCGGTCGGGAGGGAGGGGAGGGGGCTGTCACAGCCCGCGGCGGGGTGGGCAGAGGGGCCTCCCAGAAGCTGTCAGAGGGACGCATGAGGGCGGCCCCGCACGGTCAAGCCACGCCACACGCCATGTCGGCGGGAGAAACGGGAGAAGCGGAGATCGCGCTCCTGAGGCAGCCGGGCGGGCAGGCAGGAGGGCAGCGGCAGCCTGGAAGGCCCCAGTCTGCACGGCCGCCCCGGTGACAGAGCTTCCCCGCCGCGCCTCAGGCTGGCGACGAGGGCCCGCCCGCCGAAGGGCCGGGAGCGCGCGAGCGCGGCCCTCACCCGCTCCAAGATGGTGTGGATGGAGGTCAGGAAGCGGGCGTTGCTCCGCTGCAGCCGCTCGTCCAGGTCAAAAGCCATGGCTGCGGCTGCGGCTCCGGCGCGCAGGGCGCTCTCTCTCCGCCGCACCCGCGGGGGGGGGGGGGGGGGGGGGGG